CTGGCTGGGGAATTCTGGGAGTTGAAGTCCACCCATCTGACAGCTGCCAAGGTTGAGAAACACTGATTTACATATTTGAGGCTGACTCTGGACCTCAGAGATCTTTGGGGTGGATGAATGAGAATCTTGGTCCCTATGACATTGCTCAGAGTCTCTTCCTGATTTGTGATCAGCTTTCACACTCACACACACACCCCTCGCTTTCTGGCTTTCCCACTTGCAAGCCACCCTTCAATCCAGATTTGGACTGCTTTCAGTTCAGCTTGAAATGCAAATGTGGGATAACATCCCCTTTCTTTAACGGCCTCTTTCCTCACACCACCTCATGTAGGTTAGGCGTGATGGTTTCTCCCCCATCCTCTGCTTCCCAGGGCTAATTCTAACCTGTGTTAGTGACCTGCCAGTGGTAATTAATGCTGGGTTAATTCAGATGAAAGGAACACGTGGCTTTGGGGCACATGCCAGCAAAGGAGTCTTGTTGAGGTCTTCAGGCACTGCCCCGTGTGCAAGAGGAGGTCAGTCATTCAGGTTGAAATCACGCATATGCTTCCCCGACAATGAAGGTTTTGACACTTGAAAGCAAGCCAAAAAAAAAAATGAAGGATTACCCACGGGAAAAAAATTTATATGGAGCCTGTCAATTCGACAGCTGAACTCTGAAGCTCCAGGTTGGGGCACTACAATAGGGTTTGTCAGAAGCTCTGAAATGGATCGCCAGCCAGTCGCAGGGAGATCGTGGGGTGGGTAGTTCCCCAAGAACAGGATCTGCCGCGGATAACTTGGGCTGAAGTTCCTTTCCTGCCAACTTGGAAAGTTGCGAAGATGGAAAGGGCTTCTCCAGAGCTGCCTTGCTTTTCCAGGCAGAAAAATGGGCTTTTCTACTGTCTGCCCCAGCCTCTGATCTCTCTGATCTTAAAAGCATCTTCTTGTAATTTAAACAGGTTTCTTTCTATCTGCAGGGGAGATCAGCTTCTTCCTTCTAGCACAGTGTTTCTCAACCTTGGCAACTTTAAGATGTGTGGACTTCAACTCCCAGAATTCCCCAGCCAGCATGCAGCAGTCCACACATCTTAAAGTTGCCAAGGTTGAGAAACACTGTGCTAGCATCTTTTAAACCTTTGCAACCGTAAGGGGAGGACCAGGCTGCCCCTTTTGACCTCAGCAGGGCTCGAAGCGGTTGTGGCACACAGCCCGAGGTTTTGGTCCCATTCTGCTTTGCAAGGTCACAGGGACTTCTGGGAAAGCCCTGTCTGATCACATACAGTTCTTCCCAGGGAAAAACAGGGTGGCGTTTCTGCATGAGGACAGACAGGAGTGGGAAACCCGACAGAGGCCGATGATGCATGAAGGACAAATTTGGGTATGGGGCTCCACTTGAACCCCCAGACCCATTTTGAGTTGAAAGTTTAGGGGTCTGCAAAGAGAGGTGTCATTCCTGGAAGCTGCTACCTCCGAATACCAAATGTTGGGGGGCAGATGGCAGCCCCAGACTGGCTCAGTTTTGCCCCACACGCTTAAGCAGCCCCTTCAAAGCCCCAGCAGTGACGTCCACCCCGTGTATCCCTGGCGTGTTGCCCAAACCCAGTTAGTTCAAGGCACCGAAACCCAGAATATGGATTCCTTCAGCCCTCAAGAGGGTGGCGCAAACCCAGCCACGGGTGAGGAGAGTGCACTCTGCCCATGCTCAGAGGCACCGCGAGGGAAGGTGAGCTCCCTCCTCCTCATTTGGGTGCAGGAGGAAAATAACGCCGGGTGAAAGGGAGCCCAACTCCCTCAGCATCTGGAAGGGCGGTGGAGAAAGCCCCCCCTTCCCTCCCCCCCTTTTGCTCATTTCCTCGCTGTTTATCTTCATTTCCGATCAATAAGAAGAAGCCAAGTGACTGAATCAGTTGTCGCCCTGAATGAATTACAGTGATTACAAGCCATTGCCAGGAGAAGGTGGGGGGGGGGAAGAGGGACTCGGACTCTCGGAGCGGGAAGCCACCGAGGCAGGTCGGCCTGGGCAGCTTTCGGGGAGGGGGATGCTGGGAGAGGTTGTGCGGGAGGGGGGTCACCTTTGCGCTTCTGAATGGCCTGCAAAGGTTGCAGCGAGGCCAAGTCGCCGTAAGGCTGAACTGCCCTAGAGGTTAATTGGGCTGCACAGAGTCGTTAAGAAGGACAAGGAGAAGAAGGGAGGGAAAAGGAGGACAATGCAGCAATAAAAGGGTTAAGTGGAAGTAGGAAGGAAGGAAGGAAGGAAGGAAGGAAGGAAGGAAGGAAGGAAGGAAGGAAGGTAGGAAGGAAGGAAGGTAGGAAGGAAGGAAGGTAGGAAGGAAGGAAGGTAGGAAGGAAGGAAGGTAGGAAGGAAGGAAGGTAGGAAGGAAGGAAGGTAGGAAGGAAGGAAGGTAGGAAGGAAGGAAGGTAGGAAGGAAGGAAGGTAGGAAGGAAGGAAGGAAGGAAGGAAGGAAGGAAGGAAGGAAGGAAGGAAGGAAGGAAGCACTACTTAGAATGCCCAGCCAGGTGGCAGCACTTAACCGACCTTGGTTAATCTCAACAACCTCAGCAAGGCTGGATTTCTGGTTGATGTTGTTGGATGGGAGACCACTAGGAGAGCTCAGGACAGTAGGCTAATCTGAGAAGTAGGAGAATCATCCCAGAAGAAGGTGTTGGCAAGTCTTGCTGATATTTCAGCCAAAGAAACAGCAGGAAAATGTCCATGAACTCAACAGGAGCCAAGCTTGGCTCAAAGGGGGTGAGAACCGCTTCATCCCAGGATCACTGAGAGTGGGAGCGCTTAACGCTGAGCTGCATCGGCTGCGTTTGCACAACATGCTAAACTGTAAACCCAGAGTAACAACACAACCCATCATTATCGTGTGCACGTCACACCCTCAAGCAGATTAACTATACCTCGCTTGGTTCATGCAAAAAGAATCCCCAAATTCCCGTAAGAAGCCGAACCCTCAGATATCCAGCCCAGATCAGCCCAGTCTAATGGGTTGGGTGAACCCAGCTGTTACACACGAAAGAACCAGACGTTTCCCTGCCGAAGTGCAGAGGGCCTTTCTTTTGCTGCAAACCGGATTAGAGACTAGCAATATGGCCTTCCAAGGCTGGAAGGAATGGTTTCGGTCTGATTTGATGCCTGGCACCTGTTTTAATGGGGAAAAAAAGCTGCTGCTTCAGCCAGCCAGCTGTTAACCCGCCAGCAGGTTTGCCAAGCATCCTAAAACAGGAATTGGGCTTGCTGTGAGCCCCAGATCAGGAGCAGAGGAGGCGCCTTTCCAAGACTTTCAATCAGGGCAAACCACCGTTGACGCCCCAAGGGCTCCTTCTCTGCCCCTTGCGTTTCCCTCTCCACCCATGGGGACGTTTGGGGGTGACCGACTGCCTCCCCCGGTTCGTGCGTCCCCATGCAGGGTCTGCCTGTCTGTCTTGCTCAGACCCACTTGCGACTGCATGCTTCTCTGTCCATTTCTTGCGCCATCCATCATCCCTTCTCCCTTGTCTGCCGGGCAGCCAGGCGAGTGGGACCTGAGGGGAATGCAGAGGAAGGCAGGAGGCCGGGGGAAAGGGAGAACCAGGGGAGAGGCACCGAAGCTGGGGAAGGAAAGGGTGGGAGGGGCCGGCGGATGGGGAGATAAATAATCTGCACGGATGGATGGGCAGGTAGGCAGACGGCTTCAATGAATAGCGGAAGGCTATCCGTGGACAGGCGGGTAATGGACAGGTGCACGAAGCGATGGGTGCGCTGAAGGTCCCTGTGGACGCATGGAGGAGCACCAAGTGAGTGTTTAAGGAAAGAGAGTGCGGTGTCAAGAGGAATGCGTGGGGAGAGGCGGAAAGGGAAGAAGAGGTCCAGACATGCACGCACTGAGACGGGTGGAGGGTCAGTATCCTGAGCATCAAGCCAGGCCAGTGGATGTAGGTTGGGGGTGGCTGCCAGGCAGGTCCCCAGTGAGGTCTGGTGGTTTTGTTCTCAAGTGACGAAGTTGAAGGATGCAGAGTAAGGGGCTTCTTGGGGAGATAAGGGAGGGAGCACAGGGTTTGCCCGCTGCGCTCGGAGCGGATTAACAAAACACAACATTGGGTTCACAGAACAAGCGGTGCCGAAACTGTAGAATGGCTTAATCTGAAGGCCTGGTTCACACAACGCTCTAAGACCGTGGCTGTCTGCTCACAGTTTGCTGAAGCACAAAATGTTGACATGCATCGTAGCTAGGGTAGTGTGGTTGGAAAGCTCAGCCAAGGATTTATATGCGCATTAAATCGGCATTTCAGACACATCAAACATTCAGATAGCCCCGGCCCCCAGGAATTCTGATATTCAGTCACTATACCTATCTATTCTTGGTTACTATGAGATCCAGTCTGTTCCAGGGTGATGTGTGGGTGTCTGGATCTATCTGTCGTGCAACCAGAACTTTGCAGGGCGCAGGGAGATGGAAATCCAGAATTGAACGATCTCGGTTGCGACCTTTCTGAGAGAACAGAGGCCCTGCCCCGAGTGATGAGTTGGAAAAGAAGCAAAATTAGAAAGATGGAAGTGATAGGCACACCAGAGGGATCCATCTGGCTAGCGTAATGCCGACTTTTGGGGATCAATATTGATGGAAATTACCTGGTCAGTGCACCTCGTTTTAGGAGAAGCAGCTGAGCCCCACCGTTGCAGAACTCCCTACTGTTAGGTGTCCAAGGGTTCAGTAGGAACACACATCTGGACACACTCTGTCCCGGCATGTGATCTTTGGCTCATGCTAAACACAGAATCCAAAGATGGTGTTAAGAGACCCTGGTTGCTTCTGGCATTTGCAATACAGACGTGGAACCCAAAGACACCCAGATGTGCTGCCGATGGGTTCTTTAGAGGATCCAGTGGTTGACCATGGGTGGGAGTCTTGTCTAACCTCCAGTCTTCCTCCTTGCATCCAGATCCACCCAGATGGGGTAGCTGATCCCTATGGGCCATGCGGATGAGCTGAGCGTCCTGTTGCAAGACGACTGAACCTCGGGGCCAAGCCATGGTCAGCTTTCTGCAGCTCCTCCTAGCGTGGCTTGGAGGGTGTGGCTGTGCAGGCCGCCTCGTGCCTCCCAGCCAGGGAGCCAAGGCCGGATCCTTCCGGGGAAACCCATCTCAGCGTTGGGAACGACCTCTGTTCAGGACCCGTCGCAGCTGGGTCTGGAATCAGTTCTTCGTCATTGAAGAATATTCGGGTCCGGAACCTGTCCTCATTGGAAGGGTGAGCCCTGGACCCCCACGGTTAGCAGGGAGTGATGGAATTTGTTGTTTTGAGGCATCCCCATTTTCTGCAGTTTTTTCCCCCAGGTTTGATTCCCCTTTTGGGCTTCTGGCTTCATTATGATGCTCCTTCTTAGAGACCCTGTGTTTTGGCCTTTGCTTCTCCAAAGCCCTCATGGCCAATCCCACCATTGCCAGATCTTGCATTTAGAAATTAACCCGCCTTTCCCAAACTTCTCATCTACATAATATCTTCCTGGAATTGACTGGGGAGGGGGGTGAAATCTTTAAAATTCTATATTCAACCAAAGGCCAGATTTGAATCAATTAGAGGTCCCCTAATTGGACGCTGAATACAGAAACAATATAATAGACGGTATTAATTCAAACTGGTTTTTCATCAAGAAATCCCCAGGTCAGATCTCGCCTGAGCTGTGAATTCATTACAACAAGGCAGTTGCTATCTGTCTTAGTGTGCAATTTAATACTGAACAATGATTGGCCAAGGGTGGCAGGTGGAAAAAAACCTACACAACAACACACTTCTACCTAATGTCTTAAGGACCAATGGGTTCTTCTACCTGGAACTCTTGGACCTGTAGGATCTCCTTGTACATGGTCAGTTCTGACTTGCCATTCTCTCAAGTCATAGGAAGTCAACCAATGGCAGCCAGAGAGAACTGGTGGCTTGATCTCTGGAGGATTCACCCACCTATCCATCCCCCAGAGATCCGGTTTGCCAATTTCTGTACTGTATGTCTTCCTTCTCTTTTGCAGCTGCACACCGACGTGGATCGTGGTGAGGGTCGCATCAAGTATGTCTTGACTGGAGAAGGGGCAGGCACGGTCTTCGTCATAGATGAGAAGACAGGCAACATCCATGTCACCAAGACGTTGGACAGAGAGGAGAAGGCTCAGTACACATTGCTCGCTCAAGCGGTGGATCGGGCATCCAACCGGCCTCTGGAACCACCGTCTGAATTCATTATCAAAGTCCAAGACATCAATGACAATCCGCCTGTCTTCCTGCAGGGCCCCTATCATGCCACCGTGCCTGAGATGAGCAATGTCGGTGAGTTGGGTGTGTGGCCAGTAAGGGGACCTTCTGCAGATAAGCCGCAGAATTCCTTACGTTGCTGATCCCAAGAGGAAGGGCCTCCAATTCCTTCTCCCCATGGGAATATCTCCTAACCTTCAGCCTCCAGATGGTTGGACTTCTGCTCCTATAACTGGCTGAGAATTTGGGGGGAGAACCAACACATCTGAAGGCATTACACAAGGGCGTAAGCATAGAGTTGCAGGAAAGATTGAACTATATAGTGGAAAAGAACAAGAGCCATTCGCCTGGGTGAGGAATTGCCTTTGGTCCTTCGATCTTCCTATCTATGCTTCCTTGCACGAGAAATTTCAGAAACTGGAGGAAGTTGGTTTCCTGGGTCCCACTAAGACAAGGACATTGATTAGTCTCTTTCCTGTGTCCCCTTGTGGGAAAAGACAAAAAGGGAAATGGCAGCTATGTTACAACTGATGATGCAGAGTTTTGTATTTCACTTGTGCCTCCTTGGAATTTGTTTGTGAGATGTGAAATCCAGTGTTGGCTTGTCCTCCATCAGGAGGCCAAGTTTGCTGGCAGATCCTGGGCTTGGAGTATGTGAAGGGAAACTAGAGATACTTCAGATCTGAACCGCACTGGAATTTGGTTGTATATTTCTCACATCATTCTGTTTTCAACTTTGTGGTTAACAATGAACATGTGGCTTAAAACTGGCATGAATAAATATATGGACTTTCTTTTACGTCTCATTTACTACAGGTAGTCCTCACTTAACGATCACAATTGGGATCGCAATTTAGTTCACTAAGTGATGCAGTCTTTAAGCGAATCATCACGTGACTGGGCCCGATTTTACAATCTCTTTTGCAGCAGCTGTTAAGTGAACCACTCTGGTTGTTAAGTGAATCATACCATCGTTAAGTGAATCACATGGTTCCCCATTGATTTTGTTTGGCAGAAGCTGGCTGGGAAGGTTGCAAATGGCAATCACATGACTCCAGGACGCTGCAACCGTTGTAAGTGTGAGCTGGTTGCCAAGTGCCTGGATTGCGATCATGTGACTGCAGGGTTGCTGTGACGGTTGTAACTTCAGGCACCAGTTGTAAATCACTTTTTTAGTGCCATCGCAACTTCAAATGTTGCTAAATGAATGTTGTTGAGTGAGGACTGCCTGTACTGAAGTAGCAAGTGGACTTTGTAGGGCTTAACCTCAAAAGGAATAGTTGGGGTGGTTGGTTATTTATATTTTGCTTCTGCTGCTGTTGTCGTTCTTCTTGTTACTTCTGTGCTGTTTTTCCCATGGAAGCTCTCAGGAGGGCATACCCCCCCTTAAAAAAAATCAAAATCCAAGCACTGAACCATCTAAACAGTAAATGTCGCCTTAAAATGTTAAAACTACGATAAAAACACTTTGGGGATATTCATGCAACTTCCAGGAGAGGTAAAGCCCTAACAGATGGATTCATGGAACATGCCAAAAATTGAAATTTTAAGCACAATTTGCTCTTTTTGTGGCTAAATGTGGTTAGTTTATGGTTCAAAGCAGGGTTGGCACCCAGCGAAGTGGCTAATTCTGCCACCCCGTTAACCCTGTTGTGTGAACAGAGCCTTAATTAAAACAGACAATTTAAAGAGAGGCGTGTTGACACGATCTGTGAAAAAGTTCTTCAAGTAGGAACGAGTTTCTTTCCTGAATTATAATTGGGGAATGTGCATGGATTCTTAACAGCACGAAATGCTGGATGGTTTAGTTCAGTGTTTTTCAAGGTTGGCAATTTTAAGATGGGTGGACTTCAACTCCTAGAATTCCCCAGCCAGCCATGCT